AAGACTTTAACCTTTTGAAACAATAACCCTTTCTTTAATTAAAACTAAAAAAACATTTTTTTTGAATAATTAGTATTTAGTTTTAGTGTATTATTATAAACCTGTAAATTTTTAGATAACAAATATACTGCTTTTTTATATTTGCATAATACATTTTTATGTTAAAATTTTGCAGCCAGCTCTTTATTTAAAAAATTTTCTTTCATAATAATATAATAAATACCTATATAAAATAAATTCAATTTGATTTAATTATTTTTTTATACTTTAAACAAAATGTCGGTTCAGAAATGACCCCATAATACCAGTTACGGTTACTTACAAGGCGATAGCAGTTAAGGGTTAAATAGCCAATCGTAATTCGTACTGAACAGATAATACATACTCAATTAATTACTAGGACATTATCTTTAACAACGATTATCGATAAATTTATTGCAGCGCACAAGAAATCAATTATTTCCGAATGTTTGCAGCCGTATTATGGATATTGTTAATTTCTAGGTTAAAACATAAATAGTTGATAATTTTATAATTTATTCCGTATTTAATTACATAAAACATACAATGGTTAATTATATTCGGCATCATGGCTTCTGTCCTGATTTTAAACATTATAGAGTACATAAAGACTATTGCTACGGATATTAGTGATACATCATCTAGTTAATTTCTCAATATAAATCTAATAATACTAAGTTAATAATACTGATATACTAAGAATTAAAAAAAATCAACATAATATGGTGATAATAGCATAATATTCTTGTTTTAAAATGGGTGTTCTTAGTTTTACAATTAATATTCTTTATTAATCATGAGATAGAGGCAATTGAAGGGGTCAGTGCAAAAAACGGCTGTCACATTTTTATGTTTCTGAGTTATACGTGTTTGAAAGTTTTAAATGGTTTCCACATCTAGATTTTTAAGCTATATATTAAACGATACCACATAATTAGAAATCTATTTATTTATAAGAAAAAAATATTTTTTAATATGGACGTTTTTTGTGAAAAAAAAATCTAAAAATTAAAAACTGAAATTATGTCAAAAATATATTTCTGAAAATCTTAAGTACTTGTACATCAAATTTTACTCATATATATCAACATCCTTCGATATGTTCCTCTTTATCCCAGTGTCATGACGGTTAGCGGTAGTCACATTTTCGACATCCAAAAGAGTCCTCGTATAGAATTCAATATTGCCGGAAATACTTAACAAAGGATCATGTTGCTACATATCATAGACTAGTCATAGACTGTCTGGTTTAAATGGGTTTTCCGCTTTAAAATTTGACTAATCGAGTTTTCGCCTGGACGAATTTGACTTTCGCCTGGAGCTAGATCTCCGCTTGATCTTAGACTGTGTTGAACAAACACAACATCAAAGGAATTCTTTTTTCCACATGTCTTGATCAGTTCAACGTCTCAGAATTGTCAATCACTTCCAGTTTCAGTCTTTTCTTCTCAATGGTACCAAAATTTCTATCCACAATATTTTTAAAAATGTTACTTTTGCATAACTGGTCTACGTAAGTAAAAAGAATTCGATTTTTGTTTTGGCTACATGCGTTGTCACACCCAATTTTTAACTTTGTTTGCAGCGAATCTTTGTGTTTTTCAATATAATCATGCAAGCAAGTTGTAACCTCATTCCGCCCTTTCTGGGCAAAATTTTTCATGTAATTATATATTGTTGCTTTATGTGTTTTTAGATTGCGGATTCAAAAAACGTACAACCATAACTAACTAATATAATATTCATCTTGTGCGTCAGTTACAGACAAAGGCTGGTTCTTTTCATAATCAAAACATATAATCATTTCAGAAGAGTCCGTTGATTTTTGAACTAGCTAGTTGTGTTTTAAATACATCTGCTTTTCAAGATGAATCTTCTTATCACTTTTAAGTGTTTTTAAGATTTCCTCATTAAATTCCAGTTCAGCTTGCTTTATACTAACTAGAAATTTTCCTATTGTTAAATTCTTCATTAAATACGTTCGCAAAAATCCCATATGAGACTTTATTATCAGAATGTGTGTTAAAATTTTCATGTAGTTTAGTGATTGATAGAGTAGGGTGCAGGTATTTTCTATTACGGTTATAACATCTTCTATAGTGCGATTTTCGAGCTGATAATTCAGCAATAAATTTTATAACCTTTTCAAGAGGTTATGGTGGTGTTTTGTTTGGCCTGGTAACATGATGGCCTCTATTGCCTGCTGGATGAGCTGAAGTTCTAACCTTTTGTCTAACCTAGATTCAAAAATCCCGTGTATAGCTAAATATGCTGTTTGCCATAAAGACACTTTTCCATTTTCGGAATTGTTATTGGTTTCTCTTTCTGATCGGTTTTTCTCTTTCGTTTCAACAACCTTGTAAATAAATTGTCCGTTCTGCATGGAGTTTTCAAAAATATTTGCTTGCTCTAAATCGCTTAGCTTAGTTGCACACTTACACCTACAAACGCCAATTTCACGACGTTTATTCTTTTCTATAAAACGATTTTTGTGTTTAAAGTTCTTTTCCAATTTTCTGGGTTTCTAAGCCGTTTCTTACCTTTTGAAACTGATTGCAAATTCTCGGAGTCATCTTCAACAGGAACTGAATTATAGGCTACATTCTTTGGTTTTCAACCTTAAATAATCTTACCAAAATCAGATGTTTTTCTCTAGGATACTTGAGTACGATATCAAAAAATTCACGGATCAAAGATTTTTTTGTATTTCAGGCTTGGTTTAGAACCTTTAGCCGCGTAATTGCATACAGGAAGGACTCTTTCAAGCTCAGGGGTTCATCATTCGAGTGATTTTATTATAACACACAAGACATAAACCACGGTTAGATAGACCTACTGTATTGTACATATATTTATATGAACTAAATAATGTTTAAAAATAATAATTGTATTTATATGAAATTATTTTAAAACAAGACGTGTGTTAAAAATGTAAACGGATGATTCATTATTGTTAATAATCGGATGAAATTTATGGTAACAACTTACGGTATTTTGAAGTTGTTTTTCTTTTTTTAAATGCTTGAATTCTTAGTTTCCCTCCTAAACATGGTAAAACTAAAATACGTAAAAAAATATTCCATTTACGGGTAAAAGTTATTCTAATTTTTTATAAGTTAAAGATAACACTAATGTTGCAAAGCGAATTTTGGTTATAAAAACAATATTAACAGAAAAAACAAACTTCTCATGTCTTCATCGATGTTATCAAGGAATCTTGCTCTGGATCTTCCTCTTCTTCTCTGATCAATGGGCCTACCAAGGAGCGTTTCCCCACTTCCCCAGGTTCAATGGACTGGCCAGATCCTAGACTTTAAAACGTGGAAAACCTTGAATAGGATAAGAACGGGGGCTGCTACAGTAAAATCAAACATGGCAAAATGGGGAAAAATAGACCAAGATGATGTGAACTGTGACTGTGGAGAAACACAGAATTTGGAACTACTTCTTACATGCAGAAACTGTTCTCATCGATGTACCCTTGAAGATTTGTGGCTCGCCAACAAAGATGGAACCGACGTAGCCCGATACTGGGCCGAACACGATAAAGTAAAGTAAGGAGCGTTTTTCTTGCTAGGTAATTTTATTCCATTAGCATTACATGCCCTATCCCCTCAGACGTCTTTTCTTAATGGGCGTGGGATTTGTGGTTGCGTGCTTATTTTATATACTTCGTTTTGTTGGTGTTTAGTATTAAACCCATTTTTGTAGCCAACTCTTTAGTGCTATATACACTTCTCGTACAGCGTTTTCCGTTCTTCCAACAATATTGATAGAATCATCAGCATATGCAAGGATTTGGACTGATTTGTTATATATTGGGTTGGTGGTTTTAATTTGTGATATACGTATTTCTTTTTCCAAAGCCATATTGAACAGTATACCCAGATTCAGACAGTTAATCCTGGATTCGTACTTCACATTCAACTTTTTTAAGAGTTATGTTTTGTTAAATTTACCAACTGATTGAAATGAAAATTTGTCTCAGGGTTGCAATCTGATGAATTGCCGATTTACCACCTCTGAAACCAGCGTGGTATTTTCTTAATATTCATTCTGCATATGGTGCCATACGGTGGCATAGCATTGTGGAAAATATTTTTTACGTTGCATTTAGAATTCCTCTGTGGTTAGAGCATTTAAAGATAACTCATTTTTTGTGTATAGTGCAATATTTCAATCACTGGGGAGGGATATCGTGGCCACCTTCTTTATATAGTTCAGCAGGGAGATTATCTATTCCGAGTGACTTGTTTCTGGTTTGTTTGCAGACTGTGCCTTCCTCTACTTGAAAAAGGCACTCTGTCGAAAGAGCTGTAGTGAAAATAAATTGTAATAAATGTGGAAGTGTAAAAAACAAGAATTTTTATTGTTTTATTTTCAGATAAAATAAACTTCCATCAAGTAACGGTCGAATCTATCTCTTATAACAGCTTTTATTGTCACCCGCTTCTTAAAAGTATGGACGTGATTTTTTGTTAAGTGTTAAACATGGATTAAGGAACAGCTATTCCATTGACATTTGTTTCGTTATGTAGATACAACTTTCCATCCCGTGTATATGTAAAAAAAAAGAATTTAATTTCAAAAACTCACCACCGTCTTTTTTAGACTCAGCTTATCATTAAGTACGTTGAGATTCATATAGCGTGCTGCCCTTATTAACTAGAATTTGTTGCTATCATATGTAATATTCTTAATGTCTATAATGTTTCAGTTATCTTTGAAGAATTTGCCCACATTTTCCAGAAGGTAACAATACTGTGTAAGGTATAGATAATAAAATAAAATATATCAAAATGAAAATTGTAATAAATTCTATTCTGTGATTAATCTACAAGAGATTACAGAAATCCCCTTAATGTTAAAAAATCACGCTTATCAGTTAAGCGATAGAAAGACGGGACACCAAAGTCGTGTCGTGTGTGTCACATCACACATCTCTTTAACTACACCGCATCTGACATCTGAACCTACCACAATCAACAATCTACAATCAAATCGCGTTACTCTCTTCTCGCGTGCGGTACACACAATTCTTTCTTCACGTTCCTGAACCTCACTCGATCATCCGGTCGATATAATCATTCGAAAAATTGCACCCTCGACCTTTTCGTACTGGGCGGTCAGATATAATTTCTTTTCGAGCGTTGATAAAATTTAAAAAGAGGTGAAGCACGACGCCCTGGGCGGCCCAATTAGTCGCTTTATTATTATTATTCAAGGGGGGTGGTTACTACTGAGAAATGAAGCGAAGAAAAATATCCGAGTTATTTTTTTGGTTGGTTTGTCTTAATGATGTTTTATTTAATTGTTGGTGTTTGGCTACAACTACAGAACATTCGGCAAGTTTAGCAGTTAATAAATTTCAAAGTGCTTTACATCAACAGGTAAGCTATTTAAAACTCTTATCTGGACTTACGCAAATCTTTAAGAACGTAGACGCAAAATTTCGGGCCAATGCTTTTTAAATGCATTCATTTTTTTCGAATCCTGAGAAATCTAATACATATTTTTAACAAATTTAAACGCAGAATGAAAGAATACATTATTACTGAGGGCGGAAAGTCCCTGAAAACTTCCATAATGTTGATTTTAATAAGTTAAAGGTGTGAAAAATAAGAGAAATTTAGTGTGATTTTCAATTTCAAATTTCTCATCTAAAAAAACTTTTTGTTTATTGTAAGGGACTTTCAGCCCTCGATGCCCTAAGTAACCTTTCATTCTGCATCTAAATTTTTTAAAAATATTTATTAGTTTGGCCCGAAATTTTGCACCTACATTCTTAAATTATTAAACAATTATTTTTGCTAAACCCACAAAATCATTATTTAGGTATTGTGAAAAAATTTGAAAAAAAAGTAATATTGTTTGATTAACCACATAGTTTTAACATTACATTATTGAAGGTGATTGAGTTAATTGAAAAATAACTTCAAGTAGCAAACCGTTATCAATTTTTTCAAAACTACTTTGAATTTGAAGTTGAATGATCAAACAAAGCGTTCCCAAAATGTTTTCAAAATTCAAAAATATCGCATAAAAGAAAACATAAAAACTATTTGAAATTTTAGAAATGTGCAACATAGTTTATTTGAGCGTACATTTACACTCTACTATTATTATTTACATTACGACCACTTTAATAGTTAATAAATGATGTATTCAATTCTTCTTATTAGTTCCAACAATACAATAATCGGTCCAAGGATAATTAACAAAAGGTATACCACGGGGTTCGGTTCCTAGCTCACTCTTATTTAATTTGTATACTATAAATTTACACTCTTTGAAGTTGGAGTGCAATATTTTAAAATATGCACACGTTTCTGAATTTATATCGACAAAATAAATTTTTTTTGATGATCTAGCCTAAGAAATCAAGCATGGTACCTATAGACAGGGGAAATAAGATTTCTCTCGGGACTGTGACTCATACAGATATCTGACAATTTTATTTAGTATAAAAAATGCCATTTTTTCGATTTTTTTGCTTACCATTGAAAAGCTTAATATTTGGGTAAAATTATAAGACTTAATCTTTTAAAACATAAAAAAGCTAAAATAGCGATTTTTAAAATTTGTAAAATTTATTTGTTGATTAGAAAACTGCAAAATAAGGCAAAAACGTTATTTGTTTATGTAAACTTATGTTAACTATTGTAAAAATCAACCTAGGCATTTGATAGTCCGTTCAAAGTTGAATATTGTGGTCTTTAATAAACCATCAAAATTTCAGATCGATCCATTAATTAGTTTAAAATTTATTCTATTTGTTTATTTCAAAGACCATTTTTTTGCATCCACATTAGTCAGAAAATAATGAAGATATAGTAGTTTTATACATACCAAATAAAAGTTTAAGAGTTAAACTATCAATATACTAAAAAAAGTGAAAAAGTAATTTTTTACAACGCAAAATTCTGTAAAATTACGGATATTTTTGATTTATAAACATTTAGAATAACTTTTAAACTATTGCTCGAAGATGAAATCTTTTTTATATTCGAAAAGCTGACATTTTTACACGAATTTAAAAAAGTTATTCTACGATAATTTGGGCAGTTTTTTTGTAAAAATTCATAGATAATTAAATTTGTTAAAGGAACGCAATTTTCGGCAGATTAATTGGAATGTGTGTGTGTGCTTGGAATATTGACTGCGAAACCTATGGTTTCATTCGCCTAATCATGTTTGGCTTTGATTCTTAACAATGATTAAAATAAAATCTATTAATATTTAAAATTTACATTATTAATATTTTTAAAACAATATCACTACGTTAAAAATTCTACATTATACAATTGGTAAACTTACAAACATCTTTTTTACAAACATCTTTTTTACAAACAAATTTTATACAATTTTCTAGTAGAAGGTATCCAGTCTCGTATCCATGCATCCAGTGCCCAGTGGTTGTTTATCCAGCATTATCCAATTCCGCAAGCGGTGTTTTTTTTATTTATTTTATTTTTTTTTTCTTTTGTTTTATTTTTTTTTTTTAATATTTTCAATATTTTTTCTGTATTTCTTTTTATTAATATTGTTTAATATATATATTTTTTATGGTTAAAATGCTTTCTTTTTTTTATTTTGTTTTATATATTTTTTTTATTATTATCTTTTCTTTTTTCATTTATATACCAGTTTTGGTATACATTGGTCTTTATAAATTATTGTTTCATATTATTATTTTTAAACTGCTTATGTATTGATACAGCAACTTATATACTTCTAAATTGTTAGAAACTATTAACCCATAAAGGTTGATGGGTTTTTCTAAAATTTTTATTTTCATAATGGTTTCCATAAAAATATTGGTCTTTATTCTATTTTTACTACAATTTAATATCATATGTTCTAGTGTGCCATATTCTCCACATTCGCAGTTTGGGGAATTTACAATTTTTAATTTAAATAAGTGAGATGGTGCTAGGGAATGATTGAATCTAATTCTACAGATAATTCTGATTGCATCTTTTTTTGTTATAAAATTACAGAACCATGGTTTGGTAGGAATTTTCGGCCGAATGTCTTTATAAAAAAGTCCCTTGGTGAAATGATCACATTTATTCATCTATTCCTGCTTAATTATATTTTTTGAAATAATATAAAGGTCTTCAGGAACTAATGAATAATTTACAACAGTATCGGAATCTAATGCTTCCTTGGCCAGTATGTCTACTTTTTCATTGTGGATGATCCCACAATGAGCTTTAAACCCAAACAAACTTAACTATTTTTCCTTCATCATACAAGTATTTAAAATTGATTAATATATTTTGTAAGATATAATTAATTTTAATATTAGTAGATATGTTTGAAATTAATTGGAATGGAGTCACATTATTACATTGTCCATTCCCCAAGTACTTCGAAGTGACGCTATCACACAAAGTTCGACTGTCCTATTTTAGGAGACGGAGCCGTCAACTCTAGTACTTTCAACTTGCAAGCAAAACCGCCGTTCCGCTCCCTTGTCGGTCACACCAGTGCCCAGACGCATCCTTTAGGGAATCGCTGATTGGCGGGCATGGAAAGGCGGCATCACTACTTCGATTGCATTTCTAGGAGCACTATGATCTTAAACTTAACCACTTCGCAATCTTCTGGCCTTGACGCAGACCCGCCGCGCGCATAGTGCCGTGTTAACAGGACGCATGTGTGTAGCGGGCGGGATTCGAAGCCCAGAGAAAACAATAAAACCTGGACCCAGATGGGTTAACGGACCACCAAGTGCGTTTAACAGGTTGCCGCCGAGGAGCTTACTGCTCTACCACTCGTCTCCAACTACAAGCACGTCTCGCAGGTGCACGTTCAGATTGGGACGGATCGTATATGACCTGTAAAACCTATTGCATGAAGGTTATGTGGGACGAAAGCAGAGTGGTCCTACATCAGTTCGTCTAGGATACTAGCAACGCAACCCGTTAACCAGTGCGATTTATGGACTCGTCTCGCTTCTAGTAGCCCCCATACCGACTACCGACACCTCAAACGAAACCCAAGTTACTGCTCCTACGTACGGGACAAAAGAACTAGATTGCGCCCTGTGCTAGTTACTGCGATCGGCTCATCAACTCTCCATTCACTAATTCCATCCCATTGCTCGACTTTTAAGATCGGTAGGGACCAGGACCCTAGCAGTATTCGGTTCGTCGTTTCGGTCACCTCTTACAACTGGTAGGGACCAGCACCCAAGCGGTATTCTTTTCATCCGTTTGCTTATAGGAAGCTGTTAGGATTAGGCCGCATGCTAGAAAGCCCTATTAGATGTTTAGAACAAACTAAACCGACGAATAATTTGAAATTTGGTGGATTTAAAATTATAATAAACCTTTAAAGAATCAAATTGATTTATAAAAACAATAACGTTTTTTTATCAAAATTTAGTCAAAAAATAAACTTGGGAGAGGTACTTAATGATCTTTTTTATGTGTTATATCTTGTGCTTGTGCATACAGAGAAATTAAACAGTTAGTAACTTATATATTCAGTGTATTATAAAAAATATTTACAATTTGTTGAAATTTTTCTTTAATGACTTAAAACTAAAATATTTTTAATCATTCGACCTTTACTTTGTAAAGTTGACGCATGAACATTTTAGCAATGTATCGCTAAAGGCACTGAAATTCCGTAATTGGATACCATAAACATGCGCCATTCCGTCAATAATATAAATATTTGAAGTATTTAAAGCTAAAACGGCTTGAAGAAAGTTTGTACCATAGAAGGTTATTTTAAATTTCAAGAGCAAAGTTATATTTTGGAGATTTTATTCTTTTTTGAAGAAAATAATTTCTATATCAAAAATATCCAAAAGGTGGGTACACATATGCTCCGAATACCGTCTCGAACCCCGTCGCGTACAGCGACGCGATCAACAGAAGTTCGCGACGTTGTTACAGGGGCATTGAAATAAGTAACGAACCGAACATCGCTCCGTACTTTGTACCAAACATTTTAGCGTTCCAGCAGTAATTGAGTTGAATTCGCATGTGCAAGATGGATCTTGCTGCAGCAGCCTACATCCTTATGAATTATTCAGTTAATTAAACGAAAAATATTCGTGAAAGAAGATGGTGGCAAACACACATATATAAAAGTAGGGAGAAATATGGTGGCAATCACTTACTCTTGGATTTAAAATTTCAGTCGATCAGTGGGTTCTATAAAAATTTCACAAGGATATCTTTAAAAATTCATAAACCACTCAGCTGTTCCTGTGCTTTTACTTTTTTTTATTTTTCCTTTTTCTCTCCGTAATCCAGATAGAAAATTGGTCATTTTTTTTACACTCATCCACTGTAATTTCCATTTTAGAAGCAATCTTTTCCCATGCATCGTTTTTTATTTTATTGTAGTATCTGGGATTATTTGTGTCCCA